AAGAAAGCAAAAGTTCATATAGATCAATCTCAAACAGAACTTTCATTAAGAGTTCAAAATCTTCATGCTATAGAAAAACAGACAAGGACAATATCCCACAAATGTCTGAGCTTCAGGCTGAAGCTATGAGGACATTAGTTGTCCCTCTATATAGAGATATATATAAATATATATGGATATATCAAAACTGTGTTGGAAACTTCCTGGTGCTTTCACTGAGGACTTGAATACGGCAGTTCATCTTCCTCATCTGCCTGCTTGTCAATTTATTCTGCAAATATCAAGGGAGGCTAACATTAAATCTCAGCTGTCTAGACTGGTTTCTTGGTTAGTTATGCTAACAAAAGGCAAAAATTGTCTAAATCATGTTTTCCCACAAAGCTCTGACTCATAAGGGCTCTGCTGTCCTCACTTTGAGATCTGCCTGTCTGGCTCAGCCTGCAGAAAATCAGGCTCCTGGTGGTTTCCAGGGGTGTGAATGCAGAGAACAACTGCTGAATTCTACTGAATGTAAACACATGCAAAACTGCTGTCTGCGACCTCTCAAAACACTGAGCATGGGATTGTAATTAAAAATCCTCCTCATAATGAAGTCTTATATTCTCCAGCAAGGAGTTACCTTCCCAGTGCTTTGCTTCAAGATGTTATGAATGCCCTGAAATGTCCTTGCATATTCATTTTGTTCACAGCTAAGCCCCACACTTTTGGAACTGTTTATATGTAAGTATCTGCTTAAGCCTCACTGAAACCAAATTGAAGTTAAGCATATATTGTGAACAAACAGGGCTGTGTTTCACAAATAGCTGTAAACACTGTCATTAATAGAATACACTAACACTGGTAAAGCTATAAGCTTAGGCATTTCCATTAATGAACCTCATCAGTTTACTTATTCAAAGCAGAGTGCAATTAGCTTTTTTTTTTCAGAACAGCTTTGTGTGCAATGCCAGCAAGTAACACCAACTCCATTTATGACAGAACTGAATTTTCAGAAATGTGTGTGCATGTTTTGTGATGGCTTTCTATTTGGAAATACCAGTTCACACATGTCCCTGGAGCAATGTCTGATTAGATATTAGTACTAACAATTACCTGTGAATGGTTTCTAGGTAATTTCATGCACTAATTATGTATGTGTTTGTTCTGTTGTATTTCTGGCAACCAGGTCTATCAAAATAGTCTGACACAGGAGCCCCAGGATATACCCATGGCAGTAATCAGGAGTTCCTTCCTCTGAAACCAGGGCTTCCTACACTGAAATCTGTTACTTGCTTCCTCTCTTTGCAGGGACCATGCTACAAATAGGAAATCTCTGCAGAGACTGTCAAACCTAGTCAATTTTTCTGAGTCATGGAAAGAGCATGAAATGACAAAAAACATTCTGACAATGCAAAGGCTGGGAAAGGCATCTACTGGGACTGCTTTATAGCAGCGCACTGGGCTGCTCCTGACCTGCAGGGAAAAACTTGAGTCCCACCAACTAATACCTATAAAATAATAATTGCTGTAAACTGAGATTCAAGTTTAAGTGCTTAGGAAAACTTAAGATATACACATAAATCATAATATTTTAGATGTGCATATAGCAATGACTTTAGGATGCAGATTATGCACTGTCAAGTAGTTTAATCTGTGTTAGGATTTTCCTCTTCACAGCTTCTGGTAGCACCTTGTTACCATTTAACAATGCCTAAAATGGGGAACCAAATGTCCATACATCATTTTAGTATTCTGCAGGAGTGCTTACTACATCCAGATATTTTGGAGTTTTTGTTCAGACCAGCTCCAAGCCTGCAAACTCACCTGCATGTCTTCTGCTCACAACCTCTCCACAACACCTCTGGGGAAACTATTTCTTTATGGTAGGTCTTGGCAGCAGGATTAGTCTGGGCTTCTGCACAAAGACTGCTTTCCTCTGCCATTCATGAGAGAGAGAGATCCCTTATCGGGGGGCTGCAGTACAAACAGCTGAGGATTTGAGATTGGCTTTGGATTTGGCCCAGCCTGGCAGATTGACTGCCTTGTAGACGAACTCAAAGACTGTTATATTACCCCTGCCACCCTGTCCCACAGATTGATAAAAGGGACTTGTTTTCTTGTCCCCTTTTGGCACTGGAAGTTGCCTGGATTGTTGCAGCATTTAAAGACTAAATCTTGCTCAGTGCTGTGCAGTGTTTGTCAGTCATGTGCCAGATTTGAACAGGAACTCTCTCCGGACAGCCTGGAAGCTTGCCTTGACCTGACCTTACCTGCATTAAGCTTTTGATAGGGGAACAGTAAGACTCATCATTTGGGAAGAACCCAGAAATTAGAAACTGAAATTTCTAAGCAGACAACAAAAGGACTCCCAAAAGAGCAGCCTTAACAGAGGAAATAAATAGCATGCTGAAGGCTGTGCTCAGGATGACCACAGAAAGCAGCTCAGCACTTGACAGATCAGTAGTGTCTGTCTGATACTGCTTCTGTTGAATTACTGATGATTATTCTAAATACACCGTGTGGTAGTGTCAGTTTGGGCTCAAGGCTGCCTTGTAAAATGACAACCAGCCAGCTCAGGGGGATTTTGTTGGCCATCATCACTGCCCACATTTCCACAACATGACATGCTTCTGCATCAATGCAAAATGCCATCAGAATCCTTTTTTTCCTGAAACATGACTTTCATTCTCTGCCACAACAACATATCCCTCCCTTTTATTGGCTTGATCTATTGAACAGAAAGGGTAACAGCACTTCCAAGTAAATCTTCCTGCAATGCCAGTATTGTCTGGGATTGGCACAGCTGGTGAGCAGAGCCAAGAGCTCAAACTAAGACGTGGATTTACACATCACTGAAGTGAACAAAGCAACACCAATAGAATTCTGTGTGTGCTCACTCTTCAGTGAAGAAATGTGCTTAATATAAATGACTCTGTCCTTTTGTAAGTAACACTTTTCAACATACGAGGAAGCTAAACTTGTATTGAATATTGGGAGATTGGGTGCTAGAACTGTTGATTTGGAAACAAGACATTTCTGGAAAATAAAATCAGTACCACTCATATGGCTATTACACAAATGGGGTTTTAGTTTGTCATATGGCATTTAAGACAAAAAAATATTTATTTATTTATTTTTGTTAATGCTTCTGTGATGAAATATAAGCTGTTATTGCATTGCCTGCACGGAGGAACACCTTTAAGTGGTCTACAGGGTTTCATGTTTTTATTACAAAGCAAAGACTGAGAAAATCAGATCTGATATCTTTGGGGAGAAACTGCTGTGGTGAGGCAGTCATGGAACAAAGATGCATCTTAGTAAATCCTGAGTTCCTACAAGGCAGGAGTGCCATGGCTCATAGAAAGGAATTCAAACAGAAAAAATGAAGGTTTGGTTTTAGTTCTCAGGAAAAACAAATGAGATAACCAAGAATATGGTAACAGCTGGTGGAGCGTGAGGAAGAAAGGAAAAGTTCATGCTGATAGGGACCAAAGTCAGGTAGCAGATAGCGTTTCCAAGGGACTGCTCCTCTCCTGGAAGGTTTGCTGAATGTGAGAGGTCAAAATGCTTCCCGGACATGCACTAATGCAGGAAACCTGGCAAACAGACTGGGCAAGGTCAAACCGCAGACTGCAGAAAGGCAGAGACAAAGATAAAGTCAGTGGGGTGGATCAACAAAGGACCTGAGTATAAAAATGTAAAGGTAGAAACAATGCTATGGACAAAACAGTATCTGTCTTGATCTATTGGAAGAAAAAGAAAAGGAAAGAGGTTTACCAGCTTGATAAACCACTATATAGTTTCATGCTGGCATATAGTTGTTACAAGTATTTAGGTAATGTTAATAGAGAGTTTTACTAGTAACTGCATCAGTAAGGCACACTTCAATGTCCTAGATGAAGACTGTAGGATATATGTGATAGGAGGGCCAATTACTTCTATATGACTTGGGTTGCAAAGTTCTCCACCAAATAGCCATAAAAAAAATGAAACATAAAAAGGCAGATTGTATGCAATTTTGGATTGGTCTTGTAATTGCTGAAACCATTTTTAGAATATTTGATCATTAAAAATAAATTGCAAGGACTAGGAAGGTGAATTTCTATTAAATGGAAGAGTACATGAAAGTAGGTCTGCAAGTTCTTCTCTGAAGACAGACCATTATTAGAAAAGAAGGGAGCTATTTAAATCATCTGTTCATGGAAATATCTATATAGGGACTAATTGCAAACATTTCTGCTGTTTGCTTGACACAATTTCTTAATGGAGAAGTACATGTAAAGATTCATAGTCAAGAATCCGAGTTCAGAATTAAACAGATGCAAAGCAGCACTGTTCAGGTGGCCAAAGCAATAAGTAGTTGATGTTCTGGGAGAAAATGAAAATAACTTGATTTGTGTATCTTTGCAGCAAGATGACTGAGAGCTAGGTTAAACCCAGGTAGGATGGAGAAAAGTTTATTTATATATATAAAGAAAAAAGAAAAAAAAAAGACACTGGCTCTTTAACTCACTTTTTAAGCAAGTGGGTTAAACAACACATTAAAATGATTGACTGTGCACACATTTAACATGGAAATAGGAAGATCTCTTAACTTTAGAGGAGGAGGTCATAGAGCAAACTTTTGGTCAAAGCAGGGGCACAAAACCTAACCAGAGGTAAGGCAGAGCTCAGCCAATTGATATGACATGTTTGCAGCAACATTAAGTGACTCCGATGCTCAGGAGGGCCCTTCTGCCCATTGCCTGCTTCCAGCTATTAAATGGCACAGTCAGAAATGCATGGAGTTTACATCTTCCACATTGTCTCCCCACTAAAACAAACCATACACAAAATCATAGAGGAAATTGAAGACAATGTGAGATCAAAGGAAACTGAAGACAACATGAGATATTCAGATGGAGCTAATACTCCAATATTGGACTCAATGATTTTGCTTTTGATGCAGTGCAGGATTCTGGCTATTGGGCTGGAACTGCTGATAATTGTGTGTTATTGATTTTTTTTCCTCTGTTTCATAGTACCAGAGTCAATTCCCTTCTTTGCTGATGCACAGAGCTCGCCAAAGCACATGGGCTGGAAGGGAAGAACTTAGACTTGATCAAATATCCCCCCTCCATCGCTAGCAGCATCTTCAGCAATGAGGAAATAACATCTCAGCCCTACGGTAGGCATCCTGTGATGCTACTGCCCGCAGTGCCAGTGATTGCCTCTAGCATCAAAGAATTTCTCTGCAAGGACCCCCATTGCCTGAATCATTTACCTTTGGAGTGCGTCTCCGTGCAGCAACTCTCCAACCACCACCCTGCAGATGCAACCAAGCTGGCCTTCTTTTTGTTATGTGGGATACTGATAACAACACCTCTGTAGCCGCTGAGAATTCAGGAACAGACTCAAAATCTTGCTGGGAAGGTGGGTAAATATTCAAGCAGATGGCTGCTGCTGAGCTCTGCTGCAGCTACTCCTGCTGTTCTGTGGGAAACTCGGGTTTAAGACAAATTGGACCAAGCACAACACAAGGAAACATGCTGAAATCATGACTGGTAAACAAGAGGAACAGTAAACTGGAAAATAAAAGACCAAAACAGCTGTGGCAGAAACTAGACCTAAATAATGAGCAAAAAAATGAGGGAACAGTCTAAGGTCATCCTGCTTCTCTTTTGGGGGCCTTAAAAATAGCTCAAACAGGAGAAAATCAAAACAAAGCACAGAGGGAACAAAACAATGGTTTATATTACCTCTATGGCTGCTAGCCCATTTGTCCTCAGGCTCTCCTGCTTCTCAGATATTTCTCACCCAGAGCACAGAGAGAAAACCCTTCATATATCCACAGCCATCAGCTTCATCTACATCCTAAAGATTACCCAATTATAAGACCATATTTCTTCTTTCCATTATGGATTGTTTTATTTCTTTAAATCTTCTTAAATTATAAGATTAACTGTTTTTTTTCTGCATATTACAGTATCAGAGTTATTTGTGGGGAATGGTGAATAATGGGGATTTACTCTCTGCTTCATGGGCTACCAGTTGATTCTTACATACCCTTCAAGAAGTCCTTATCATTTTCACCCCCTTTATAGCTCTGGTTCTTTGCTTCTCTCTGACTGCACCATAGAAGACATCTAGCTTTGCCTGACTAACACTGCACTATTTAGCATTCTAGTGTTATATTGCCATTCTCTGCTAATTTAGACACAACAGACAAACCCAGACAGTGGAAAAGAGTAGCAGAACCTATAAGGAGGATGCCTTGGATTGGTCAGAGCAAAGAGAGGTCTGCAGAGAAAGGGAATCCCATCCTAATTACTGACGGACCTGGGATTTTGGAACTCAAATCTCCAACTGCTTCACACCTCTCTGACCTCAGCCTTGAATCTGAATACAATCCTAAGAGTGACAGAAAATTATTTTTTGCAAATCTGCATTGTGTGCCAGAGCCCCAGTGTTCCCCAGAGGACCACCCAGCTGTTTGCTCTCACTAGGATGCAGAAAACATGTGGCTAACAATAACATCTGGCACCAGTGGGTGACTGATGTCCATTCCATGGCAGTTGAAAACCAAGAGGTTATTCATCTTGATTATTATTTTTTTTAAAGCTCTGACAGTCTAAAAACAGATTTGTTTTGTTTTGTTTTTAAACTGAAATAGAGGACAGTTCATGACAGCTAGAACAGCAGGTGGCTGGTGATCGATTCATTTTAGAGAAAGATGACTAATTCTCTCCTGTCACACATGAAAGCTATTTCAATATCAAACAAAGAGTCTAATTTTGAGAGGCTGCATTATCCTCCAAGCACTTGAACCCTGAGATCTTCCTTTTCTATTTCACACAAAGTTTTCTTCACAACTCATGCACAATTTTTGTAACATGCTTCTTAGGAGATTATGACAAAAAGTACTTCCCTTGCATCAGGGACAGTCATTTGTTTGCAAATGCAGATGTATTAAATCTTGTTAATTCTACTGAGGAAAACGTAGCAATGGTCACAGTGTGAGTTTCAGTCGGAGACTTGTAAGAAGAAGAATGTGTCAGAAGGATAAGGAATATAAGGAGACATTTATCGTTTTGTGAAGTTTGGGGAAGTGGAGGATGTCAAATAAAGGTTTGTAATATTTGAAGTAAATAAATAGATAGGGTGTTTTTTTTCCCCTCTTTAATTCATTAAGATATATCCCAGTGCTTTTCAGAGGGCTTAACAATGATGTAGTGGCAGAAAGCAATCCTAAAACCTCTTGTATTGAATTTTTAAGATTTTGACAGTACAGCTCCTCCCACAGATACTTTTCTCACCTTTTCTTAGAAAAGGAAGACTGGCCACATGCTTAAGAGCTTCTTCCATCCATCTATCCTGACCACCAAAAAGACACCAAAAAGGCTGTACAGGACACGTTATTTAGAGCAGCCCATAGATTTGCAATAGGAACTTATCTCTTTGAAGCTTTGGGAGTGAGACTACACTGGTGCATCACCCTTGCATGAAGCATAGGATGGGAAGATAGATAGGTAGATTTGGCTCAGATTGCTTCAGTGGTTCAGAAGTACAAGACAAAAACTCAGGTCCTATGTGCACTGGGCCAGAGGTGCTTGATCAGTTTGGACATCATTTAAAGGCTCTGATGGCACAGTCTGCTTTAGAGGAAGTGTCTTCCTTGAAAACAGCAGGACAAGGAAAATCAAGCTGTAGAAAACTCTCCTGAGCACATACAAGTTTGTTTTTCAACGGTGGGTAAGCAGGAATCTTTAACTGCTTTTCATAAGAATAAATGGCATATTCCCAACACAGAATGTATGCAATACTTCTCCAAGTAAAGGAGAAGCAGAAGTCTGTAACTCCACCTGAGTAGGTCTGGGAGGCAAAGCTTCACTTCAAATGTTTAAGAAACAACATAAGAAACACCTGAAAATGGGGTCTAAGCATGAGACATATGACACCTTTACTAACCAGCACAGCAATTAACCCTGTCCAAAAGTATGCATTTGTTGTACACAAAATTTGACTGCAACTACTCAAAACATAAAGAACCATCAATACTAATTCCTCCCCCTCCTATAAGCAAATTACGAAGCACTTATGTTTCATCCTGAGCTTGTTCTGAATGCTTCTTAATCCCATTTTATCTAATCCCATATAGGCTGAGTCTTTGATAGGCAGTTTACAGGGTGATGAATGGTGTAAGTTAAGGATCTCCCACCAGGACTGTGCTTGGCTTGCTGGCTTCCTGGCTTGTTTTGGTGCACATCAAGCACATAAGGAAATCTAAACAGTGAAACTGCATGTTGGGGTACCGACTGTTAAGGAAATTTTATATACTCAGAACCATATCATTCATGATAACTTTTAAAGAATAGGAGGAAATAGAACAAAAAAGGTTAACAGAAAACAAGCTATGACCTCAGCTGAGTGGAGAACTATTTCTCCAAATTGTGTGACACTTAAAATAAGACTGAAGTAATAGCAGAGTCAGGAGTGCCTGCAAAGGTCAAGAGGAGATGAGCATTGCTCCAATGATTTAAAAGCATCTTCTTAGTGCCATAAAGACCCATAAGCAGAGTGCTATCCAAAACCAGTTGTCAGATGAAGTGCTTTCAAAGAAGACAACATCCTTCAAGCCCAGAAGTGGTTATTTTTAGAAAAGTTAAAACACTCACACTCCTACCTTCAGCCTGAAGCTAGTGGTTACATGAGTATAAATAATTAGAGCTAAGAAATGAGAGGTCAAGTGTTTATGCTCCCGCTTAACTTCCCCTTGCTAAGCTTTGCCTCACTGCAGTAGGATTTCAGTGGTGAGGGGTACGTGGTTGTGCACTTTGTGCTTCAGGTTACTGACTGATTAAAGCATAAAAAGGTAACCTAGACTGGAGGTCTACTATTGCTGTGAAAGTGTCTCACAGTTCCATTTTAAGTTTGATAACAGCAGCAGGCTTTGAATAAAGAAGAGCACTATATGGCATTTAAATAGCAAAGCTAATGTAATTATCTGTAAGTTGGAACAATTATATAAAAAATATGCAATAAAGGAAGGAGACAAAGCAATCAGCCATCTCAAATGAATCAAATGCCAGAAGGGACCTGAATCTTCATTACAGACTGATGACCTGCTAAATTACATTGCCAGAGCACACACAGTCCCACCACCGACAGGTTAATTCCAGCCTGCTTCTGTGGAGAGATGAGTAATCCTTCTCTCAAGCCCATACCCAGGAAGTAGATAAAAAGAGCAATGCCATTGACAGACTTCATAAGAATCTGCTGGACCTCACTGGTACTGCACCAAAAAGAATCATTAAAGAGGTTACAGGAGGCTTCCTACTTCTCTGGTCATCTGAGCAGAGAGGATCTAATAAGTGAAGTAATGGATAGACTGAGAGTGCTTCAACGAGGACACTCACTAACCCATTAACTCAAGGAAGCCAGTTTTTCTCATAAATGTACTTCCTCAACGTGTAAATGCAATGAGGTACACGCATGCTCAGCAAGAATACAAGTGTCAGTGAGATTGAAGCATCACTTTGAGCACAGAGAGGGTGATGCTCATTGGAAAGTGCTCCTGGAATACAGCTGCACCAAGGAGTGACTGTCTTTTGATAAAACCTGGGGACAAAAACAGCCCAGTTCCCAGACTTTCAGCAGTGGAAACCCACATCTTCCCATGATTATTTAGTACCTAAGAGCTAACTGCAGTTTGACTAGGGTTCTGGTGTGTCCACAGTGAGCTGGACCATCCAACTACACTTGCCTGATTTTGGCACCACTTTCACTTTCCTTCCAAGTGTTGAAGGATCAGGATCAGAGGATAACTCCTCTTCCTTTTTTCTAGACCAATGCAAAACTATTCTCAGACTTCATTTTTTTCTCTGTGGCCAGTTAAGTAACAGAACCTTCCATTTTTTGCATTGATTTGAGGGAAAATTACCTTAAAGTAATGGAGATAATTTCTTTGAATGGTGGCTACAGACTTGTATAGTTCACTGTGCACTAAACTATAGAGATCATTAACTATATCATTACAAAAGTTAACTGAAATTAGTGCACGTTGGATGACTCCTTGGGAATGTGGTCCAAAACCTATTAATGAATAGTAAGTAAAAAGCAAGTGTTTTTCTAGTAATTGGGAGATGGGGGTGAGATACAGTCTATTTATGTCCCCAGATATTGAAAGTCACAGACTTCCCAAAATACTACCAAATGCTGAGGTACCAACCACTCTGTTTTCCCTGTAGAATCTGGTATAGCAAAGAGGACCATGTTTTCTATGGCAAGAAGTAAAACTTATCCATACATTTCTCCTTATCCACCTAAAGATAAATATCCTATCTCTTAGCTAAACATATATGGAGTCATAAAAGAAAGGGATCTGGTCTGATTTTTGTCCTGTGATCCAACTGTTAAGTGTTACAAAGCAGAAATGGCTAAGTGTGTTAAATGACAAACACATGAGGAATCCTATTTCAAAGGGTTCTGATTTAAATTAGAATTGCCCTAGAACATTGTTCTGGATTCAGGCACCAGGTAGGATTGCCGAGTAGGAGAGAAACATTTGATATGGGCAGGCTCTGGTGGATTTTAGGTTACTGTTGCTCCTAGGGTTTAATGTATTTTTTTAAAGTGATGCAGAAATGATAAAGGTGTTTCCTTTATCATCATTCCTGCTTTGACATGCAAGGCTTGATCCAGACAACCCTTAAAAAGATAAAGAAGAAACAGGAATCTTTCCTGTCAATGCAATGGAGTTTTTTTCATATCTTTACTTTGCACTTGGATTGAAATTTTCCTGCCAGTGACTGTCAAGCAGCAGAGAAGCCAGTTAATATAGTTCATATGCTAGTGTGCTTTTTTTTTTCCAATCAGAGACAAAACAGCAACATTTTCAGAAGGAGTTAATTCCACCTTACACAAAATTAATTCTTCTTATTTGCCTCCAGAAATGATAAGTTTTCACTTCCATAAATCACCCCAACTTTGGAAGCTTCAGAATGTGTGCCAGCTCCGTGTCTTCTGAATAATGAAATCACTACGTTTGGTATGAAAACATAGATTACAGCAGTTTAATTAAGACAGTTCTGGAAAAGTGAACAAATATTAGAGCAAATGTTCAGTATTAAATGAAAAACAAATTACATTTTTTTTGGTTAAGTTATATGTTTGGCAGGGGAAGACATGTCCTAAACAAAGACAGCATTCTTCTTGCTATTCCCAGAGTGGATCTGTATCTAAAGATGAAGACAAGATGGGTTTTAATCACAATATTGAGCTAATCAAGTGCAGCCTGGAGCAGGAGAGAGTAAATAGTACCTGTTCAGAAATGGTGCTTCTTTCTTCTCTGTATGTAGATCCACTGTTAGGAAGTCTGATTCTCATTTGCTTTCCAGCACAGATGCAGAATCCAAGCTGCTTATGTAGATAATGTTATGTTTTTAATATTAAAATTCAACCTAGTGAAATTCAGATTTTTTTCCTGGGGGAACTTCAAGGCACTGGCATTCGGTTTCATCCTACATCACAAAAGAAAAACAAAAAATACCTCCCTTTGACTGTTCTTACAGATTTTGTTTCGACTGTCTCAATTTGAATTAAACGAGTGTGATAATAAACTGAAACATTGCAACCTTTTATAAAACAAATATTTTGATTACTTCCCTCAAATATTTTGACACAACCACAGTACACAACCATGAAATCACTTCATTTCTTTCAAATAACATTTGCCAACAGAAAGCTGTTACATTTACAATTGTTGACGAGTTCTGATTAGAAACTAACTAATCTGTTAATGATGAATGAACAGATGCATTTATCCACCATCAATATACCCAGGGCCCAGAATGTATAAATCTCACCTAGGCATAGGAGCAATCTGGATCTAGAATGATACTTCTGTATACAGGAGACTGGGCTCATCCAGAAATGATGGATATTCACATCATCATCATCTGCTCTAACTATGAGCTCCCCATCCTTGACTACCTTCTGCTAAAGTCACTGTGAAGAGAGGAACAAAGAAAAGGAAGGAAAACTCTATTTAGTTTCCCCCAAGAGCCTGAAATATCCTTTATCTAATGTGCTTCAAGTTTCTTTCTGCTTCAGGTAAGCCTTTCAAAGGCCCATATTCCAAAAAGCATATT